GGCAAGCAAAAACTTCAAAACTATTGTCATAGATGTGCTTATTGTTAGTACCAACACCTTAGCACTAGTGTAAAAGGACAAAGACACACTCAATGTTATTTTTTACATGTAGTAGACATATCGTCACGGGATGGTACTACTATACTGTAGGGTCTTGTCTTAAAATACATTAAGAATAATGCTTGTTGGCTGTACAAAAATGTCTTCCTGTATGCATAACCACGTAGCAAAGCCTGTGTGCCTAACCAATAAAAAACAGCATAAACCTACAAGTCTCATACCTTCTGCCTCATTTCCACTATCTAAAAATGTTGGTGCATGACACCACTGTCAGTGTAAAAATGGACCTCTAGAGTAAGTTAAAATACTAAATAACTTCATTACGGCTTTGCTCAGCGTGATATCACCACAATATTTGCAACAATGTGTTTTGCCTCATCTGTACAAAGCCATGGTTTGGCCGTCCTATTTGAATACTGGCTGCTGTATTTGAATACTGTCCCCTCCATTGCACTTGCCGAAGTGCAATGGAGGGGACAGTAGCTAATGAAACTAATTTGGCTGTTTGTATAATCTGGTGAAATTTAACACAGGTATCTAGTTCTTTGTGCAGTTTCATGGCATCCAAAAAGTGAAAGTGCCTTGAAAATCAAACTGAACACTAAACTATTTGAATCAAATATTCTATGTAAAACCCTACTGCTTATTAAATCATGATGCTATATAAAAATAGCCCAATTTCTTCACCTTGTTGCACTTAACTGCATGAGATTTACAATACATTAAGAATAATGAAAATCTGATCACTGTGCTAAATATACAGTGAGCAACAGCCTATGATGAAATGAAAAATGTGTTCTTGAGAAAATGAAAAAAGAAGTTTAGAAACATGGTAAATATTTCTTCTTTAACAGGAAGAGGTATGAAATAAGCATCATCATTTTAGATTCCACCAGGAACGTGGTTATCATTGTTCTCCTAAGTATGCTTCTTTTTCACTGTAGTCTCTATCAAATGGTGCATGTCAGCGGACACAGTTTTCACTTCCTGAATGCCTGAGCCATTCTTAACTTTTGATGATGACCACCTGGCATCGCACTGTTGTTGGTTAAGCCTCTTTGCAAAATAGCAGACAACAATGATGCACTGCTGTCAAGCAGATTAATCTTACAGCGTCCAAAAGGGAGGGAAAAAATTGCACCCTGTGATGGAAATTCACGAATGCTCTGCAAGTCTGAGCTTTTCTTTTTGAAAGCACAAATTTCGCCTTCACCAGACAAAAAGTGATTTTCAGTTAGGAATAGACAATACAAATGAGTCTTTCAAATGAGACCAAAATGGCCATGCTCCTCAACATAGTTTTCGTCTGGTGCATTGCTGAATACAATTTTCCGAGTAGCTTTGGCAAGCGAATATTGTCATGAAGTTGACTCTGAGGCAAAATGACACACACATTAAATGTATATTTTAGAAAAGGCTTTAATTTTTGGACCATATGGTAATGTTAAGACATTCAACAAAAACTTTTTCATGACTTTTTTTCCTTTTCATCTTGCAGATCAGGGTCTCTCAATAACTAGAGGAGTACTGACACGGATTTCAGAATTTTTGTTCTGTAGCTCAAAATAAAAATGTGTGTTCTTGAGAGCCCTATATAGAGTATTGTAGTACCTCGGAACACATTGAATATATTTTAGTACAGCGATCTTAAAAACCACTTTCGGTCTCAATATCCAGAAAAATAGTTGCATAGTGTAGTGATGGAAGCAACATTTTGCTTTTTGGAACAGATTCTGGAGCGGAAAAAATGACGCTTTGGAGCAGCTTCAAGCATCTTCGGAGCAAAAAAAAATGCTATACTCAGGGTTGCTATTGGTCTTTTCATAGCAGATCATGTTCCTAACGACTCTTGGAGTATAAAACAATAAGCATTTAATATTTATATTTATGATTAAACATGCCATATGCTTGTATGTGCTAGTCTAGTAGCATCATTGGCGTAAACCATGGGGTGGTCAGGGGAGTGTGGACTTTTATGTTCTGGCTGGGGAGGCAAGTGATTGATTGATATGTGGGTTTTAACGTCCCAAAACCACCATATGATTATGAGAGTGAAGGGCTCCAGAAATTTCGACCACCTGGGGTTCTTCAATGTGAAGCCAAATCTGAGCACATGGGCCTACAGCATTTCCACCTCCATAGGAAATGCAGCCGCCGCAGCTGGTATTCGATACCGCGACCTGCGGGTCAGCAGTCGATCGGCCCTTGCAAGTGTCTCCCTTGAGATTCAGCTTTAGCGCGCGATATAATTGAGTGAACAATTATATATAATGCAATCAACTTTTTAAAAGGCTTTTTATCTTTTACTGCATACCTTTGTTAAATGCGCTTTAGCTGTGTGAACTATGAAAATTGCAAAAAGGTGCAAAAAAAAGAGACTGAATAAAACAATGCAATTGCTCAAGCTCGGACCTCATGCTCGTTTTTAATTTTATTTGAAAGCATCATTTAATTCTTACATAAATAAAAATACACAACCCCTATTAAAAATACAAATTCGCCACCATGGCCTGATATGTCACCCCTCGTGATTTTTCTGGATTTACGCCACTGAGTAGCATATTAGAATGATGGTGTATACAGCTTGCTTTTGGTTTCGCTTATGCTCAAGGGATGGTTCCATGGTTCAACTTCATTCTCTTTAGCTAGCCAACACCATTTTGGAGCAGTTACTAGTAAATATTGCACTTTGGAGCAGCATGGAGCAGAATTTCTCTTTGGGAGCAGTTTGGAGCAGCACTTCCATCACTGATAGTGATGCATGAACACAGTTTGGCACATGTCCAAGTCTAATAGGGACAGCAACAGCACTTGTATTGGCTGCTGTCTGTTGCACATTGAAGTTGCAAACAACTATGAGTGAACTGTCGTCCAGCGACTCCAAGAGAGATTACAGCCACAGTGTGCGCAAATCTAGCAAGCTGTGGCAATTCGTCATGATAATGTCGACTGCACTGGGTCTTGCAAATGCAGAGTCATGAACATTTAAAAATCAAATTCAAATATTTTGTGCGTTTCCTAGCTCCAGTATGTGGAGATCATTAACACTACGTGCTAAGAAAAATGTCGCTAATACACTGCCTCAAAAGTGGTTCAGCACTCCTTCAATAAGCAAAACCCACAACATTAAGCTCTCCTGCTCTATTACTACTATTGAAATGGGGCACTAGACAACTGAAACCACTTGTTCACCATTCACGAGCTTAACCAGACTTATGAACTGTATACCTAAACATATAATGTAAGCATTTTTTATGAAATCAACTATGAAACTACGATGCAAACATTCTTTACTAATAAAAACTTTCAGTACTTAAAGATGGCTTCTCTTGAACACGAACGTTCCTATGTATAGAAGATGCGAGCGCCAGCTAGGAGAGTTTTTTAAACGATTTGGAGTTGTGAAGAGACTTCAATTTCAATGCTCTTCTCTCACCACATGTAAGGCCACCACAACAGACGACTTAGCTCAATGTCTCAGGTCATGCCACAGCTAAGCTGACCATTAGACCCAGTGGTACAAAATGAAAATGTTAACTTCGGTTCAGCAAGCTACTAGACATACAGCCAGTAACTCTGGAAGTGACCGCGCAGGCCTTGCACAAGCCTGTGGAAAGAGAAAGCTCAACTTCTGGCAGCTTGCTTGGGCAGGGTGAGATAGTTATATCAGGGCAACCATGCTTAGTCCCAAGGGTCCAGATGGCTTGAATCCTCTCATTCTCAGTGCAGGCATATGGCACATGACAACCTTGTCTAGGTTCATGCTAGAATGCTCATTTAAATAAAATTATAATGAAGAAATGTGTTCTACAGCCAGATTGCCAGTGCTAGGCACTGGACATCGTTGGTTCTGTGACTAACTGTGCCTACCATTAATGTAGAGTCTTTGAGTTGGTGTTCTTTGAGTCATCAACAATCGTGTTGTACTTCTTTATTTTAACTATTAAATGCATATCTGTGGTACTACGATCAATCACCATTTTAAAGGTGGACTTGGGCCTTTGTGGTCCACTGTTGGAAAGTACCCGCCATCGCAAAGTGGCTTGTCTGGTTTGCTGTCTGGAAATGCCCGCCATGTCGTTTTAAACTGGGTGCATTTTCATTTGAAAAATATTTGCAGCACCACCTTTTACTCAGTGGCGCAAGTGTTTACAAAAAGTTACTGCATATTTCATAGGTAACAGCGCCACAGAAGGTAAAAATGGGGAACGAAAAAGTGCATGCATGTGCACACACACAGAGCTGTTTTTTTTTCTTTTCCCTTTTTTGTATCGTGGAAGCATTTGTGCTGTGCGCATCCCTCAGGCCTGGCTCTCTTGGCTTTGTAGAAAGTGGCAATGGCTCAGGTGAAAAAGATAATTATGTTCTTCCATCTGACAAAAAAAAAGAAAGCTCTTCAGACGAGTGCTCCATTTACAGCTGGTTCTGATGCACACGTCTACATGCCCAAAAACGTCCGACCTACACCCTGGCGAACGCTTTGAACAGTAGCACATGTCTTGGAGGTAGCACCAAAGGAATGGAATAGAAGAGAATGGAGAAAAGGATATGTTGATGTCCATCTGCATTTGAGTGTGTTTTCGTGAAGCATCTTAGTTTAGTAAAAAAAAAAAATTGGAATGAACCGGTGGTAACATATGTGGAAGTATATGACCGCAAAGGATTAAAAAAGAACCTGAATTGTTGGCGATCCTTGTCTGAGTAGTTTTGTTGCGAGTTGTGTAAGCTTCTGCATCATAAAGCTCCACTTGACTATTTGAGGATGAACTCCTTCTTTCGATAGTTGGTCTCGGTTTCCTCGAGCATTCCTTAAAATACAGGAGGAGCTCAACTGTACAAAGGACAAAACTAACAAGCTGAAATGATGAGAGATTTGGGTAAGATTATTGTGAGATCTAGACTTCGCCAATTCCACAAGTAATGATGATAAAAACACGAAAGTCTGCAAAATATTTTATTAATACACAAAATTGTGCGTAAGAACATGTGCGTTCAATGTACTCACCGTGAACTTTTTAAGACCCATCACTTATTTCCAGTGTCCCATATAATAAAAAAAATAAACAGAGGGAGCTTACTAAATGACTAAAAGAGTTGTCACTCTCATGCACTGAAGACAGTAAAATAACAAAAAAAAATATCCTAAGTGTTACAAACAACTGGCTTGCAGTTCGTGATATTTGTGAAGCAATAAATACATGCGCGACCCCTGAGCAGCAAAATAAGGTAAAATGCAAAATTCATTCTTTTGTGGATGTAGACATGCTAAAAGGTGTCTGTACCACTTTGACAGAGGCTAGCAAGACTCTGCTAGAGCAACTTCTATGACATCAAATGACAGTGGGCATGATAAACTAAAACCACTTAGAGCGAAACCAACCATGCTTCCAGAAACCGCTCAATGAAAATGCCCATTGCCAAAGAACACAGTAACACGAAAGGCAGGAGAAGTGGTAGTGCAAGTTATGATGGTAAGTTGCCGTACATTTCAAGTGTAGCTTTGAACACTGCTTAGGCCACGACAGGCTGGCTTTTGCCTACAGTGTCCTCTGGTAAAGTATGACTGCATCCAACCCATTCAGAACCTGATTGTTCGAGTGCCTAGAACTTCTTCAGGGGGCGAACCTGACCACCACCACGACACTTGCAAGCTGCTCCTTCCGTCTTGGCCATGCCACGATACAGTCGCAGGTCAGCCTCATAGTTCTTGTGGCGCATCGGAATGTATCCTTGTGGTGTACACAAGTCCTGCAGGTATCACAAGAAGGGCACCACATATGAGCATTGTGCTGGCAGAAAACATCATAAATGCAAAGTTCTCCTGAATTTCCGTGATCCATCCTCAATACGACACAAAAACATGATGCATCAGTGGCAAGTTATGGTGAAGTGCATGTTCTGAAGAATGCACACTACACTGTCATGGGAACAAAAAATTAACTCAATTGACTATATGTTGAGCCAAACATGAAATGCATCAAGAAATTTCAAGTTTTTGTTACCAAGATGCATATACATTTGGGGAAGTCGGTCTGGTTCCACTAGATGAATTGGTAGTAGAATACCAACAGATACTGAAAACATAACATACGTACAAGGACACGTGATTGTCCTCGTCTGTACTTTCTTCAGTCTTTATTGGTGTTCAATTCATCATGTGATTATGTTACTAAATTGACAAACAATAATTATTTGGACAACATGATGGTCTTAGTGACTGCTGCACCACATGAGTGATTAAAAAATTTGGCCATATTGCGTGTATCACCCTTCAACAAATACTGAAACACAAGAAATGTCAATGGTAGTAGCAACACTGCTCATGGTATCCTGTAAATATTGTAAAACAATGGTCAAAAAAGTTATTTGGTTGTGCAACTGTTCCTAATGAAACATAAAAGTTACAATAAACACTAGCTTATGCAATTCTGGTGCACTACAGCGCACAAAAAACACAACGAACGGAACGCAAACGATGACGATGAGGGTTGAACTTTCAACCACAGGTTCAAAGTTCGGGTTGGAAGTTCAAAGGTCGAAAATCACTTAATCATTATAACCCTCATCATCCCCCTGAATTTCTGTCTTCTTGATATTTACTTGTGTAATTTGCAGCTCTGCATAATTTGCATACTTCTAAAACATGACTAAGTTTTTCTGCCTTGCAGTAGTGAACATACTTTTAACGCTAACGCAGATAAATCCCAAACTAAAAATTTTTGTAGCATTCCAAATATTGCTTAATGGGCTCATTTATAACTTTTGTTGAAACCAGTGACACCGTCACGAGAATAGAGTTTTGCTGCAAGTTAACTTTCTTTTTCCTGACCTATGGGCACATCCTCATCTGCATTTAGTCTTTCTGGCCTTAAATTTGATGCTCGCGATGTGACACACGTTCCCCAATGCACACAATAAAAGTTGGCAGATGTGTGTGATGCACTTAGGATGTGGCAGCATGGAGCAATCTACTGGGCGATGACAGATAGCGGGACAGTGCCATGGCTGCATGCAGAGGGAACAGACCCCGCGATTACATACAGAAATCATAAAGGTTGGCACGTTCCCATCGTTTACATCCTCTTCTATGGCCTCAAAAAACAAATATTTTCTGTGACCTTGAGAAACACAGTAGAGACACTTAGTTGCAGTTTTGCTGAGCTACTTTTGAAATGAGCTACTAGCATTGCGTACAGAGCTGAGGACACTCACAGTAGTAGCATTGCCAGTGAATGAGCTTCACCCGACACAACAAACTTATCCCGATACTACTTCAGGCATAGCTAGAGTTCCTTCAAGCCAAGCCGAGATCATGGTCAAGACAAACAAGCATCATTCTGTCAGCATGAGAAACGTCGTGCCTGGGAACTGAGATATCCTGTGTGATCTGAAGCAAAAGCTGTGTACTGCTTTTTTTTTATTGCACATTTGCTTAGCATTTCATTATGGCTGCAGATAAGGAAACAACTTCACAAGCTTTCATAAAAAATGATTTTTTCTGTGATGTTTACACAGACTAGACTAAATCAATTTTCATGGCTTGACCCGGTGTTCCGAAATTTCCCAGCTTTCTCCAGACATGCCCGAATTCCGACAAATACAGGTTTTGCAGATTGCTCCTGTATGCAGTAAACAGTCAACTGCCTATAGAACTCGTTACGAGCAGTAATAACATGTCATGTAGATTACCTCAACCTGTGGTGTACCCGTTGCATTTTCTCAATACCTAAAGTTTCACCTAGCCAGCTGGGATATGTCATTTAATGACATTTCACCAGGTTTACGGAGAGCAAACAAACAAGTGCGGTTCATGGATCAGTCAGTGCCAATCACTTTAGCAGAATACAGCACACCTGTGTGATGTGAGAAAGGTAATAAATTAAAAGAAAAGGAAACATTTGTAAAGATAGAAAATGTGGCCATGGCCCAAAAATTCAGTTTTTTTTCTATCCAATGACAAGCCCACACAACAAAACATACAACGAAATCCAGGGCACGTCTTGAGGACATGATTCGCTCCCTCACCTCGGGCCTACTTCAGCGATTCTCAAGGAGCCGCCACAACAACGTTCTTGAAGTAGGAATGTTTTCCAGAACACTGACTATCATTTAAAGGGGTGGTGCCACCATTTCTGTGGCTTGCGCATTCCTTGCTGCAAGCCGCTACCAGCCTTCCTTATAGATCCAGGAAGAATAATACACGCACCAAGATTAATTTATTCTCACTAAATAAATTAATATAGCACTTTTTATGTGGACCACTTCCGGTTTCGGTTTCTGGGCACAGAATTAGGCTGTGACATTGCAGTGTAGCTTGGTCACATGGCCACACAAGACTGTGACGCACGTTGGGTGGATTATCCTCTGCTCTCGCTGGTTTTCTCGCACACACGTGCCGCACAAGCACCTGCAAAATAAACATGTAGCAGCCGCGATGCTTTGGCGGTACATACGTGGCGGAGATCTCACAAAGTCACTCCCCTTACTACAATAGGCGTGCGCGTGGGACAGGGATAATAGGGCAGTCAATCCCATAGTCACCCACAAGGTGGGTTGTGCAGACACAGCCACACACATTGACATAATAAGGAAGGGGTGTGCTACAATGAACCTTTGTTCCCCCTGAAGGGGAAACCTGTGCACGCCTATGCTCACTACAGATACAGTGTAGTACTGTACTACAGATACAGTGTACTACTGTACTACAGTTATGGTGTGACGTCACTGCAACTTTTGTTGGCTTTCCTAGAAAGCTAGGACAGTTCTGAATGCGTTTGTGATGGGCTTCCTTCAGGAGAATGAGCATTTAGGTACACTTTGGAGGTGAATTAAAATATATTATCTGGTGAGACATCACTGCAACTTTTGTTGGCCTTCCAAGAAAGCTACGGCACTTCTGGACGCGTTTGCGATGGGCTTTGTTCAGGAGAATGAGCATTTAGGTACACTTTGGAGGCGAATTAAAAGATATTTTAAATCTTTGCTGTGTCCGACTGTCCATGTGGAGTGCTCTAGCATACAGAGGAATCCCCCAAGCAGGGGTGGAAGCGGGTTTCAGTCTTTTGAAGCAGCTTTTGGAGCAGGAATAATGCAGTTTTAAAGCAGTTTTGGAGCAGTAAAAACGGAGTTTTTGAGCAGTTCTGGAGCAGGAAAAAGTTTTGTAGCATAGAAATTACATTTTGAAGCAGATCACTGTTAATTAGAATTTTCGCTTTCTGGTGAACAAAAAATTTCAGTAGTTTTTACTAAGCATCAAATGTTGATCAAGCAACAAGACTTGCCTGAAATTCATATATATTAAGCCTTACAACATCAAAGGTGAAAGTGCAGTAACTCAAACAAAAAAAAATATAAGCGGCGTTCCGGACAGCTACTAGACCTCACATGAACGAAAAAGTTCAATGCTAAAGTGTTCCAATGTTCCAAATGTAATTAAAACACCGCATCCAGCATGAACAGCAACTCAAGAATAGAGATGAGCTACTATGTAATAAAAGCTCTCTTCATACTAAACCCATATAGGGCTCTATAAAAATAAATGTAAAAAACTTGTGTTCCGGTCACTGAAGTGCCACAGCCAACGTGAGAACCACGAGGAAATTTAGATACGCTCGCCATGCCATCGCTAGGCAATTGAGTGAAATTTTTTCATTACAATAAGAATTATATAGACACTCAATGGGTTTTCACCGTCGCCGCCATGTTTCGCATAAACTACAAGTTGATACGATTCCCTGCGCATTGTATGTTCGACCCACACATAAAATTGCGCAAGCTGGGGTAATGAGTGCTGCTCAAGCAGAGACTAAACGAGACTGCTGATCTCCGTCGCTTGAAGAGCACACGCGTTAGCATCCCACCGTGTGTTAGAACTGCCGTTGAATGCTCAAGAAAGGAAACACACCGCTTGTCTTGAACGACAATGAAAAGACGTGGAGGAAAGGGGGGTGCTTGAGCAGCAGCTATGAACCGATTCTAATCAAGGGCATGGCAGTGAGCAATGTAACTAGAATAAGCTCTGAATCTTCGCCAGCGGAGGCTAGTGGGCCAAACGGTCGTCATGAGAACTAGCGGCACTGCAGTCCGAATTAGCTCTACTCTCGCCGCATCGTCTGCTATGATGGCGTACCGTGGTGGTACGCCACACTGTTGCTTGCGGTGGCTTTCTTATTGTAATATTATCAAACTTAACCATTCATTGAGCTTCCTGTCGACATTCTCGCGTCGCATTTGTGAACTGCTAATGTGGATACGCACAAGGTCGCCTGTATAGATTGGGCCTTGTGCCTTCTGCCCATTGCAAGTTGGCTGAAGATCGATGTCCTGCCTATATCTGAACTGTCTGCATTGCGTATAACCTCAAAGTACGGGAGGTTCTATGTGAATGAGCATTTACTGTAGTTTTTATGACTACTGCTATCATTTTAAGAAGAGCCGTCTTGCCTAAATGAAAAACGGCCTAAACATCAGTAAAAGCCTCAAACAAGTTGACTTACTGGAATACAGAAATGCTCTAGAAAAACAGTACTCATGTTTTCTACTAGTTGCAAAAGACATTCTCTAAAGATAGTACCCGTGCTATGCACTGTTCACCAGACAAGTCTTTGCGATGGCTATCAATCGAGAGCAGAGTTCAAAATCTTACAGCAACTTCACCTTCTTTCTTGCATTTTACACCTTTTCAGAACGTGCTTGAATGTTTTTCTTGCAAAAAGAAAGGATATTCTCATTACAATATGAAACATTAC